CAGCTCTGCAACTGCATCCCTGCCCATCCTCACCCTTCTGCCCCCAACCCTCGCTTCCTTGTACCCCCAATATGTTTCCCCAATAATATATATATATAAACTTAAAAAGAAAACCAAAAGGTTTTCTTTCCATGGTTGACATTTCTCAAGGTGAAAGAACTGAAGAATAAGTTCCAGCATCTAGATGTAACACTGAAGGATTCTATGGACAAAATCTTGAATGATGCAAGATGCTTCAAAAGAAGAAGGAAGGAATACGAAGAGCCACTATAACCAAAAATACTTAGGTGACACTAAACCATTTTAGGAAGTAGCATATGCTCGAGAACCAATACTATTGAAGGAAGAAGTCCAAGATGTACTGAAAGTATTGGCAAAAATAAAAAAAAAAGTCCCAGGAATTGATAACATATCAATTGGAGTGTTTCAGGAAACAGTTACAACCCTGGAGGTGCTCATCAGTCTCTGCTAACAAATATAGAAGACAGCTACCTAGTCAACTGACTAGAATAGATCCATATTTGTTCCCATTAACAAAAGGTAATCCAATAGACTGTGGAAAGTATCAAACAATATTATTAGTATCACATACAAATAAAATCTTGATGAAGATTATTTTTAAAAAACAGTTGGAACAGTACATCAACAAGGAATTTCAGAAATTCAAACTGGAGTGTGAAAAGGCTGTGAACAAGGAACAAAATTGCTGATGTCAGGTAGATCTTGGTTGAAAGCAGAAGGCACCAAAAAGATGTTTTATTGATTATGCAAAGGCATTTGATGGTGTGAATCATAACAAATTATGGCTAACATTGTTGTATGTGCCATCAAGCTAAGCAAAACTCATAGCAACCATACAAATAACAGCTCAGAACCCTGTCCTGTCCTGTGCCATCCTCATCATTTCTGACATACTCAAGCCCACTACAGCAGTCACTGTGTCAATCCATTTGGTTGAGAGTCTTCCTCTCTTTCACCAATCCTTCAACTTTCCAAGCCTCTCCAAGGAATAGCCTCTCCTAACAGTATCCCCAAAGTAGGTGAGATGAAGCTTTATCATCTTTGTCTCCAAGGAATATTGAGAAGAATAGAAATCCCACTTAATTGTGCTCATTTGTAACCTATATAGACCAAGAAGCAGTTTTCTTAACAGAACAAGAGAATATTGTATGGATTAAAATCAGAAAAGATGTGTATCAGGCTTAATTTCTTTCTCCATACTTATTCAATCTGTATGCTGAGCAAATAATTTGAGAAACTATGTGATAGTATATTCCTTGCTATGCATCAGAGAGCTGTACAATGACTAAGGATGACAGAAGAATTGATGCCTTTGAATTGTGGTGCTGGACCACCAAGAAAACAAATAAGTCTGTCTTGGAGAGGATGAAACCAAGTTTCTCCTTGGAGGCTAAGATTTTGAAGCTCTATTTCACATACTTTTGGCAAGAGGGACAGATCCTTGCAGAAGGACATCATGCTCTGAAGGGTGGAGGGACAGTGCAGGAGAGGAAGACCCTGGAAGAGATGGAGTGATATAGTTACTGGGGCAAAGGGTGTTGGAGCGTGTTGGAGTCAGTGAGACTGGCTCAGTATAGGGCATGCTTCAGAACTGTTAGGGCCACTACGAGTTGCAGGCAACTAGACAGCACATAACAAAAGACTATGTGAAGAAGAATTTAGTATCAGGATTGGAAAAAGAATCATCAACAACTTATGCTATGCAGATAACACAACCTTGATTGCAGAGAATTAAGACTATTTGAAACACTTTGTGCAGAAAAAAAAGACTATAGTCTTCAATATGGATTATATCTATATATTAAGAAAACAAAAATCTTCACCTTTAACCAATATCAATATCAGGATAGATGAAGAAAAGACTGGTGGCAATAATTTCATTTTACTTGGATCTACGAGCAAGTCCATGGTAGCAGCAGTCAAGAAATCAAAAGATGTATTGCACTGGGCAAATCTCCTGTCAAGGGCATCTCTAACGTGTTAAAGAGCAAGGCTATTAGTTTAAAGACTTTATCAAGTGCTTTATCAAGGCCATGGTATTTTCACCTGTTTCCTACCCATCTAAATTGAAAATAAAGAAAGATGACAGAAGATGAACTGATGCCTTTAGATTAAATAGTACTGAATATACCATGGACTGCCAAAAGAACAAACAAACCTTTCTTGAAGGAAGTTCCACCAAGATGTTTCTTAGAGATATAAAAATGATGGAATTTCATCTCACTTACTTTGGGTATATTTTTAGGAGAAATCAGTCCTTGGAGAGAGACATCCTTCTAGTCAGAGAAATATCCTCAAAAAGACGCACTGACACAGTGCCTACCACAATGGATTTTAGCATAACAGAAACCATGAGGATGGCACAGAATAGGGCAAGGCTCAGATCTGTTGTTATAGAGTTGCTATGCATTGCAATTGACTTGGTGGCACTTAAAAACAACAGTGACTACTGTAATACTCTACCTTGTATTAGTCATTTTTATCCATAGCTTAGCTCTACCAGATGCTAAGATCAGTGAGTGAAGGGGTGTTGACTTTATATTCAGTACTATTTTTATGAAATATTGTGCCTGAAAACAGAAACGACACATATTATGTTGGTCTCTGAGTAGGTATTGTATTCCCAAGCACCATATTCTGCTCTTAGCAATTCTGAACAAATTTTGTTGAAATAAAAAATTAGTGCAGATTACAATGGGAGGTTGATTTCTTCTGTACCAGAAAGGAAATCAGTAGGGACTGAGAATAACAGATTCAGAGAAAGATATCCCCTATATATGAATACTAAAACCCTCTAATTTTCTACTGTTATCCTCTTATAAACTCCCCAACTCCACAGACTTTTCTTGCTTGTCTTGGAATTTCCACACTATACTAAACTACTATGTCAAAGGGGCATGGTCACTACTGCTAAATTATTTTTGCTCAAATGGACTTTATATGTGGGTGAAATAACTAGCGTTTGCACATTAGAACAGATTTAACAAACTAGCTCGTTCATAAGGCCCCCCCTAAAGAGACTAGTTCTCAGGGGATGGAGTATGAAATGAGGTAAATCAATCAGATCAAATTGCTGATAGGAAGCTGTGGATGTCTAAAGTGACAATATTGAGTGAGTGAGCCATAGGATAGATTATCAAACAGGGCTTTAGAAGCAGGTTTTTCTGCCAACCTCTAAGAAGGTCAATTTGGTAAGGTGCATTCTGTAATATTAGAAATGTCCCCCTCTCCCCGCCCTCAATTCTTGACTGTAACAAGGGAGTCAAGCATGTAGAGATGCTGAGGATGGCGCAGGAGAGGACAGGACTCTGATCTGTTGTTCAGAGCAGTCTTGAGTTATAGTTAACTCAAGAGCACCAAATCACAACCACCACCTCTCATTCTAAAACTCAAGTAGCTGACTTAAAACCAAACTCTGCTAAAGAAGGAAGACCTTGGGTTTTCAAAGCAAGACAATCCTCATGAATCTACTTATAAAAAAGTGAGGGAACACTAAAGGATAAAGGCAAATGACCCAATTGAAAAATGGGCACAGGATATGAACAGATACTTCACCAAAGAAGACATTCAGATGGCAAACAAACACATGAAGAAATGTTCAAAATCCCTAGCTCTCAGAGAGATGCAAATCAAAACAAGCATATCATCATATCATCTCACCCCAGTAGGATAGCAAAATTTAACAGAGCAGCTAGCAATAAGTGTTGGCGAGGTTGTGGAGAAACTGGAACCCTTATTTACTGTTGGTGGGAGTGTAAAATGGTGCAACCATTGTGGAAGGTGGTATGGCGCTTTCTCAAAAAGTTGGAAATAAGGGGAGTTCTGGTGGCCTAGTGGTAAGGAGCTGCAACTACAATCCCAGAGGCGCATGGTTCAAATCCACCAGATGCTCTGCCGGGGAAGGAGGGACAATCTCCTCCTGTACCAGTCAGATCTGATTTGACGGTACACTCACACAAAAATAATAAAATAAATTAAAAAAAAGTTGGAAATAAAAATACCATTTGACCCAGTAATGCCACTACTGAAATACCCAAGCAGATACATGCACACCCATGTTCATTGCTGCTTTGTTCACAATAGCAAAGAGTTGGAAACAACCTAAGTGCCAATCAACAAACGAATGGATAGAGAAGCATTGGTATATTCACACAGGAATACTATGCAGCATTGAAAAACAAGGAATTAATGAAATATTATACAAAATGGGTGACCATAGAGGACATTACGTTGAGCGAAATATCTCAGTCACAAAAAGACTAATACTGTATAATGCCACTGTTATAGAACAGGATTGATATGGGGCTTGGGGGAAACTAAGAAAAGAGTGGATAAATATTGATGAGGGACAGAACTGTATAAAAAGAACATATGATTAGGTATTATTGGCATGACAAGAGTCCAGAATAAGAGTTGTATAGTAAAGTAGTTGGGGGTTGGGACTGTATAAAAATGAAAGAACTTTTTTCCCAAGAAAAAAAGTGAATGGAGGGGTAGAGGGGGACAGGGAGGAAAATGTATTACAAAGAATGAATGGAAATTAAAAACAGAATATGTTCAAACCTGTTCATACCAAATAAAGTATATTTTTTTTTTTAAAAAAAGTGAGGGAAATGGGAAGCTTACTCACCAACAGCAGTGAAGTGTAGGCAGTCAGGATCCCAATAACAGACAGCAAAACAATGGACCAGTAGAACCATACTCCTGTAGTTAAGTACACAGCCCTGTAAAAAATGTGTTTAACCCTTAACACACAATGGAAAGCACTAGAGTTTCTGCCAGTGATAACAAAACACCAGACTGGGTCAGCAAAGGAAAAACATAAGAGGTTTAGGGACTTAGTAGTAGAGTGCAGTGTGGAAAGACTCTTAGAGATAACTCAGTTTAAGAGTTTGAATGCTCTCCTATAGGTATCTTAGTACAATAATATGGTCTGTATAAATAGTATATTTTTTAAAAAGAATTAGCTTATATATTAAAAAATGTGTCCTCTTTAATACAATAATATAAAAATACATGTATTCTGGAATATATTTTTTTTTTAAAGGGAGTCTTCCTATATCACCCCCTTAGCAAAACTAAGACTTTCCATTTGGACAGGTTCCTTCTCTGTGTACATGTATATTTTTTATAGATTGTTAATTAATCAACAGGAGCCCAGGTGGCATAGTTCAAATCCAACAGGCATTCCATGGGGAAAAGGACAGTCTCCTCCTATAAAGATTCACAGCCTTGGGAACCTGATGAAGGGTCACTACGAACTGGAAGAGACTTGACAGCAATGGGTTCAATTTGAGTAATCAACACATTTGGGCGGTCAACATATTCATTATACTGTTACTATAAGAGACTTTAAAATTCTTTGAAAACAGTTCTGATCTTTTGCTGTTCTTGATAAAATTTAGGAAAAGTTACTAACGATCAAGTTATTCATTTGAATTTTTAGGATAGGTACCAAAAAAAATGGGTTATGTTGTGTTGTTATGTATCATTGAGACCGAGCTGACTCAATGCTGAACCTCCAGCATGTTTTCAGAGACAGGTAACTGGATAGGAGAAGACTGTCCATCTCTCTCCTGTGGAGAAGCTGGTAGATTTGAACTGCATGCCTTTGGGCTGGCACTCAATTAGGACAGACAATTTGGTATACTTGTAATTTAGTAGAAACAAAAATTAATTAATAATTTAAAAAAAGCTCAATGTCAAAGAAAGGTGAAAAAAAAAGAAAGAAGTAATACATAACAGTTTAAGAAAGGTTATAGATGTAATCCAAAACATAACAGTAATCATATTAGAAAATAATTATTTTTTATTAATAACATAAAAACATACATATTGTCAGTCTGGATTTTTAAAAATCGAGCTATGTCTCCTCCCATATGATTTATATCCTCTAAAAACCCACTAGATGATCAGCTATGAGTTGATTCCAACTCAAAAGCACATAACAACTCACATGATATTTATAAAAGAAACTTCTAAGATATAATATATAGAAAAATTAAAAAGAAAAGAGAATTAAAAAATTGAACTTCTAAACAAAAATTACCATGGCATTCATAGTAGCACAAAAAATTACTTATAAATCCAATAAAATAATACTGTATAAGATTTCTTTAAGGAAAACTACAAAATATTGATGACAGAAAATTTTAGGAGGTAACATAGAAAAAAGTCTAGTTGACCTTGGATTTGACAATGAGTTTTTATATCTAACACCAAATTCATGATCTTTGAAAAAAAATTGTTACGTTGGATTTCATTAAACACTTCTGCTCTGAGAAAAATATTAATAAGAGAAGAAAAAAGACAATCAGTGGACTGGTGAAAATATATTCAAACCATTTATCTGATATAAAATTTGTGTCTAAGATATACAAAGAATGCATACATATCAACACTAAGAAAATAAACAAGTCAGTTACAAAATGACAAAATATGTATACAGACATCACACTAAAGATGTGTATATTTTTATACAAATGTTAAAAATAACAATATGAAAAGATGCTTAAATAAAATATTGTTAGAACCAAAAAACTCATTGCTGTCAAGTTAGAATTAACCCACAGATGGCCTTTCAATGGATTTCTGAGGCTGTAAATCTCAAGAGAAGACATCGTCTAGCTTTCTTCCACAGAGTAGATTCGAACCACCCGTCAGGCCTTTGGCTTAGCAGCAGAACTCTATGTGGACTAGGCCACTAGAATACCCTATATATTGTTGTTATTGTTGTTGTCGTTATGTGCTGTAAGTCACTCACAACTCATAGTAACTCCATGTACAACAGCTCTGACACCTGCTCTGTCCTGAGTCAGTCTCACTGACTTCAATACACCTACACTCATTGCCCTAGTGACTGTATCAATCCATCTCTTCTGAGGTCTTCCTCTCCTTCACTGTTCCCCACCCTTCCAAGCATGATGTCCTTTTCCAAGGACTGGTTCATCCTGGCCATGTGCCCAAACTATGTAGATGGGGCTTCAAAATCTAACCTTCAAGGAAAAACATGGTTTCACCCTTTCTCAGACAGACATATTTGTTTTCTTGACAGTGTGTGGTATGTTCAAGACTCTTTTCCAGCACAAGAACTCAAAGGCATCGACTCTTCTTCTATCATACTTAGTAATTGTTTAGTTCTCTGATACATAGCTAGCAATTACAAAGACCATGGCAAACCTTAGTCTCTTGACTGACATCATTGCTTCTCAGTACTCTAGAAAGGTCTCTGACAGTAGATGTACCTAATGCAATTAGTCTTTTGATTTCCTGACTGCTGGTGGTAAGAATGTTGATTGTGGAGCCAAGTAAGCTGTAATTGTTAACAACCTCAATGTCTTCTCTATCTATCATGGTGCTGTCAATTGGCCCAGTGGTAAGACTCTTTGTTTTCTTGATGTTGAGCTTCGATCCATATGGAAGACTAGAGTCCTTGACCTTCTGCAGTAAGCACTTCAGGTCCTCCTCAGTTTCAGCTAGCAAGGTTGTATCATAAGACAACTACATAACATTTAGAATGGCCAAAATAACTGAATATAGCAAGTGTTGGTAAGAATGTGGGGCAGCAGAAACACTCATTCCCTGTTGGTGGTAATGCAAAAGGGTAGAACCACTTAGGAAGATAATCTGGAAGTTTCTTACAAAGCTAAATAGTCTTACAATACAAGCCAGTCATCATTCTTAGGTATTTATTCAAAAGAATTGGAAATTTATGTCCAGATAAATAGTTAATAGTATTTTTATTCATAATTAAACTCTGGTGGCCTAGAGGGTAGAGTTGCTAGTCCAAAGCTGGTGCCTCTTTGGTGGTTCAAATCCACTAGAGGTTCCTTTGGAGAAACATGGGCATTCTCCTGTTTACAACATACAACCTCAGAAAAACTGCTGGAGGATCAGTTATAAATTGGTTCTGATTCAACAGTAAATGAGTTATTTTTTAAAAAATGTTAAAAACATTTCTAGTGATCAAAACTAGAAGTAGCCAAGATGCCCTGTCATAGGTAAATTGTTAAACTGTGGTATATCCATGCAATAGAATACTATTCAGCAACAAAAAGAAATAAGCTATCAAGACACAAAAAGACATGGAGAAATCTTAAGTACATTGTTAAGTGAATGAAACTAGTTTGGAAAAGCTACTGTATGGTTCCAAATAATTTATGACTGTGTATAAGGCAAAACAATAGAGAGAGTTAAAAGAGCAAAAATTGCTGGAAGCTTAGGGTAGGGAATGAATGGGTGAAGTACAGAAATATTATTTTAAAAACTGTAGTATGAATGAAAATGTACAGAAGAAACTGGTTTTCCATTCAGCATTCATATATATATTTCATGACATTAATTATAATACCAACATTGTAACCACATTCTCCTCACTTGATCACTTCTCTGTCTTCATTTTCTTTAGTGATGTTGTGCCTTTCATCCTTTATCATATATATTTTATACATATATAAAGATTTCCCATGAATCATAAGGTATATGACCCAAAAAGATAAATGAGTGAAAGAACTGAACCTTTACTTAACAAATTAATAAATCCAAACAGATTATTAATGAAAAGTAGCAGCCCATTAATAACCAGAAAAATTTACACCATAATGAGACATAACTTACATCCACCAAACTGACAAAAAAATTAGGTCATAAAACATCAAATATTGGGAGGGGGGGGAAGTAGAGCAAAAAAATTAATGTACAGCTTGTGGAAATAAAAATTTATAAAATCACTTTGAAAAAAGAAGTTGGCATCATCTTCAGTAAATTTGAAAGGAGGCATACTCTTGACTCAGAAATTGAATTTTGTATATATCCTAGAAAGATCTGGATGTGTGTAGTTCAGTATATATGTTCATGGCAGCAGTTTTCAAAATCAGCCAAAAACTGGCAGGAAATCAAATGTCTATTAAGAGTGGAACAAATAATGCAAGTGATAACAGCTAGAAAAATTAGGTTATATTTTCATTCATTCATATGCTGACCATAAAATTCTAAAGAAAATGCATTATTAGCATAAATGTAAGCTAGTGATGACCTCTAGAGGGTGGAGGAGGTGATCAGAACAAGTCATGATTGAAGTAAAATGAGTTCTGGTGATAAGCTTCCTTACTTCCATCCTCACTTCAGAGTCAGGGTGAGCTGAGGCACTTTTTACCCATTATCTGTGGTTTGTCCACAGTGACCTCCTATGCTACTAGATCTTTAAATCTGGTGTACAATCCATATGGTTATCAGACCCAAGAGCCTTTTGTTGTTGTTGATTGCAGGACTGAGTCAAGCATGACTTAGACCCTATGACAAAAGGGCGTGAAGCTTTTCTGTAACTTCTTATCAAAGTTCACAGAATTTCCAGAGGTATGTTGTTTAGGAAGTGGATGCCACTCCTGCATGAAAATCCAAAAAGTGACTCACCAGTCAAAACCAAAATATTCATTTGATGTTTCCACCCATATGAACAGTAAAAGCATAGAGAAGCCAAACGAACCAATCAAGAATGGTAAAAACAACAGTTCTTTCTGGAAAGAAAAAAAAAAGAAGGCTAACTTAACTTCATTCATCTATTCAATTTCATAACAGTCAATTTCTGCATCTGCTTGTTAAAATTAATAGAGATGCAGTGATTTGCATTACCTTTCCCAGGCTGGACTGACTACTCCTTACCCAGCACCAAATGTGTTGGAGGCAGTAAGATCGGCACAGGATAGAGCAGGGTTTTAGGGCTGTTGTGCATAGGGTCATGATGAGTCGCAGGCGACTCGAGGACGCATAATATGCCTATTTATAGCATTTACTATAGTAAACTGTAATTATGTGTTTATTTTCTATCTATTGCTACGCTGGTTCTTCTGTAGAAAAAAGAGAATAAGAAAACAGATTTTTCTTTGTATTGACAATAAATATGTGGTATTATTTTTAAATTAATATTGCTCTCAACAGTCACTTGTTGAATTTTTAATTTATCTACTAACTCTTTCATCCACTTTAACTCTTTATCCATTTTCATTTATACTCCACTGAAATGGGGAAAACTCTGACCTGACAGAGCACCCCAGGACATGTCAGTTTGCTGTACTATGATGACTTGCACAATGCTTTGATGCTGGAGGCTATGGCACCAGTATTCCAAATACCTTCCTACTAAGGTTTCAGCAGAGCTTCTACACTAAGACAGTCTAGGAAGAAGGTCTTTCTATCCACTATTGAATTAGCAGGCCCTTGAAAACCTTATGGGTAACAAAGAAACATTGTTGGATACAGTGCCAGAAGTCGAGCCACTTAGGCTGGAAGACACTAAAAAATTGTGAAGAAATAGCTGCAAACATCTACCAATAATTGAAATATAGAAAGTCCAAAACATGAATCTAAGAAAATTGTTAAATTGTAAAAAATTAAATGGAGTGCATAAAGATAGACAACCTAGGCATTCGTGATCTGAGATGGACTGGCATTGATTCATTTAATATCAGACAATCATACAGTGCCTGGAATGGGACACTGAAAAATGGTATACTCATGGAATTTCTATGTTCAGCTTTTTGAGGAAATGCAAAACTTTTTATTGTGTTAATATAATTAATTACAACTGACCTATTACTTTTATCTCTTGTCAAAAGGACATTTCAAAAGCTATCCTGAAGTACAATACTGTTAGTGACAGAACATAAACACAAGGAAGATCTGTTATTCAAATATACACACCAGCCACTAAAGCCAGAGATAAAACTGAGGTCTTCTACCAACTTCCGTAGTCTGAAATTGATCAAACATGCAACTTAGATGCATTAATAATATCTAGTGGTGGGAATTCAGAATCTGGAAACCCTTAACTCTTACACTATCCTTCCATTGAGCAAAAAGGAGCCTTGAGGATCATCTAGTTTGACATCCTTGTTGTACAGAGGCAGAGAAGTCAAGTAAGCAGCCCAAGGTCAGTGTGGAAATTAGGACTCATACCTAGTACCATGTATGTATGAAAAATCAGAGATTTTCCCATTATTCCATTATACCACACTGTCCCAATGTCATTGTCAAATGTTCCTTTCTCCTTCCATTTGTCTTTCTTTATAGCTCTCATGTGACTATTACTGTCTAGTTAATATTGGTTACATCTATGCACTTTTCCCAGTTTTACAATCTTCTCTAATCTTATCTGGCATATTGCTATTGCCTCCTTTATAGTCCCTTCCAAACCACCTTCCAAGATACAATCAAATAATCTTTACAAAAAATAGTTTGGACAATATCACTGGCTTAAAAATATTCAAGATTTCTTTACAACTAACCTGGCAAAGGTCGAATTCTTTAAACTACACAACATCTGACTCAGATCCCTCTCTAGTTTCATTTTCTATCACTTCACCATTCATATCCTCTATTCCATCTAGATTGAACTTTGTATCAGTCTTCACATTCTTTGGTTCCTCCATGCCTTTTCTTTTTTCCCTTTTTTTAAAAAAATTCTTTTAATGAAAGTTTACAGAGACTTTGGATTTCCATTCATTCACTATTGTACTTTTCCCCCTGCCCACCCCTCCCCCCAATTAGCTTTTCTTCTTGAAAAGTAAAAGAAAAAATTCTTCCATTGTTATTCAATCCCTTCCCCCAAGTTCACTTCACTATGCTACCTCCTAGACTCCTGTCATAACAATAATATCTAATCATATATCCCTTTTAAACAGTTCTCCAGGCCTTTTCAAATGCATTTCTTTGCCTATACAATTCTCAACCAAATCTCACTTTCTAAAAAGGTATCTTCAGCCCAACCTTGGTATCTGCAGACATACATGTATATTACAACATTTCTCTCACAGGAATGGATTGACATTAGGGTGCATTTCTCTTTTCCCCAGTGGACTGTAATTTCCTTGAGAGCAAGAATCAGACTTGACGCACTCCTGTTATTTCCCCTGGAAAGAAACTGTGTGGCAATCCTGAAGATTCAAATCTACCTGCTGCTTTGTGGGAGAAAGATGGACAATTTTCTCCTGTGTGATTAAAACTGCCTCTGACAAAGACAGGCAAAAAAGAACACGAACAGCAAATATCTCTCATGAATATAGATGCGAAAATCCTTAACAAAATCCTGGCCAATAGAATTCAACAATCTATTAAAAAAATAACACATCAACCAAGTGGGATTCATAATAAGTATGCAAAGCTGGTTCAACATAAGAAAAATTAATTCATCATATCAACAAAGCAAATAACAAGAACCACATAATTGATAGCAATTGATGCAGAAAAGACACTGACAAAGTCCAACACCACTTCCTGATTAAAACACTCATCAAAATAGGAATAGAAGGTAATTTCTCAACATGGTGAATAGTATATACACAAAATCAAGAGCCAATATAATTCTCAATGGAGAAAGGCTAAATAAAAGCAACAGGTACCAGACAAGGATGTCCACTTTCACCACTCCTCTTCAATATTGTATTGGAAGTACTTGATAGGCCAATGCAACAACAGAAGGAAATAAAAGGCATCTAGATCAGTAAAGATGTGGTTAAATTGTAGCTCTATGCAGATAATATGATAGTGTACAAAGATCTCAACAAAAATACTGTTAGAGCTAGTAGACCAATTTAGTAGAGTGGCAGGATAAAAGACAATATACGAAAGTCAGTGGGATTCCTCTACAGTAAACACGGAGAAGGAAATCAAGAAAGCAATACCATTTGCAATAGACAAACACAAATTAAGATATTTATGAATAAACCTAGCAAGAGACAAAAATGACCTTTACAAAGAAAACTACAAAACACTTCAGTGAGAAATAGTGAAAGACCTAAATCAATTGAAAAAATGTTCTTTATTCATGAATAGGAAGACTTAATATAGTGAAAATGACAATTCTACCAAAAGCAGTTTATCATGTTTATTGCAATCTCAATACAGATACCAAATTCATTTTTCAAGGAGATTGAACAGGCAATTGTCAAGTTTACTCAGAGAGAAAAGAGACTCCAAATAAGGAAAACACTTATAAAAAGCAGAAGTGAGAAGCATAGCACTCCCTGACCTCAAAACCTACTACCACAGCTGTTAATAACCAAAATAGCTTGGTATTGGTACAATGAAAAGCACATAGACCAATGGAACAGAACCAAGAACCCAGAAATTAACCCACCTCTCAATGGTCAACTGATAATCGACAAGGAAACAAAACATATCAAATGGGAAAATGACAACCTTTTCAACAAATGGTGCTGGCAAAACTAGACTGCTTCCTATAAAAAGCTGTGGCACGATCCCATCTCACACCATACACACAAAATCAACTCAAAGGGGATCAGAGACCTGAAGGTAAAATCCAAAATCATAAAGATCATACAAGACAAAATGGGACCAACTTTAGAAGGTCTAGCCTATGGTATAAAGATGCTGACAAACACAGCCAGAAATGCACAACCAGGAGAGGATAACATTGATGAATGAATGGAATATTGTAAATATTAACTCTCTGCGTGTATAAGAAACTTTTCCCATAGGGTGAAAAAGTTGGCAATACCTCAGACCCTTGTCTCATAACAGAAGTTCACAGAACAATACAAGGCCTATAGGGAGCCCTCTGGCTGCCTTAATAGGGAATAAAATGTGCAAAAGACATGGAAAGACTTTTCACAGAGGAAGACATTCAGATGGCCAACAGACATATGAAGAAATGCTCAAAATTACTGGCAATAAAAGAGATGCAAATCAAAACTACAATGAGATACTATCTCACCCCTGTAGCAGTGGCAAAGTTGAACAGGACAGAAAGCAATAAATATTGGAGAGGATATGCAGAGTTGGAATTCTCATACACTGTTGGCAGGATTGTAAAATGGTACAATCACTCTGGAATACAGTTTGCCGTTGCCTCAAAAAGCTGAACAAAGAAATTCCATATGACCCAGTTATGCCACTGCCAGGAATATACCCCAAAGAAATGAAAACTGAGACACAGACAGAGATTCACCATCGCAAAAACATAGAAAGCCAAAATGTCCAACTATAACTCAATGGAATGAGATATTGTGGTATATTCACACGATGGAATACTACACAGGAGCAATGATTTAAAAAAATACTATGTAGTTTGGGAGAGACTGGAGAGCATTATGCTGAGTGAACAATCTCAGTCTTATAAGAACAAATATTAAATAAGACCATTATTGCAAAAATAGGATAACTAGTAAAACATATATAGTGGTCCAAGAGAAGAAGAAGTGGGGGCAGGGGCGTGAAGATAGAGAGGGGGGAAATCACAGGGCTGTACAATTTGGTGGTTGAAGGGAGGGGGTAAAGGAAATGGGAAAGATTTAGCGGGAACCTGAAAATACCGGGTAATGGTGGGCATAGTTCTATCGTGATTAATTTTATAAAATACAATGTTTGGCAAAAAACAGTTTGTGGAGAAACTGGAACCCTTATTCACTGTTGGTGGGAGTGTAAAATGGTACAATCACTCTGAAAGGCAGTA